AAATAAAACTAAGCATCAATTATGATCACTGTTGTACATTGATAGATCACCCAAAGGAGAACTTCAATGTACGTTTATTGTTTAATATGTATTAAGTTTATAACTCAAAGCATTAATATGCCACTATTCTATGTATTTGCAGCACCTATTTCTCTCCATTCGCAAGCTTCGTCTATTGTAAAGTTCAATGGGCTTAATTTCAATGAATGGAGTGAACAAATTCAGTTTCACCTAGGTGTTCTGGATCTTGATTCAGCACTCCTGTATGACAAGCCCGCTGCTATCACTGATTCTAGCAGTGCTGATGAAAGATTTTTCCATAGTGCTTGGGAAAAATCAAATAGACTTAGCTTAATGTTCATGCGGATGACGATAGCAAACAACATTAAGTCCACAATTCCTAAGACTGATAATGCAAAGGAATTCATGAAGTTTGTGAAAGATCTCTCGCAATCTGACTCTGCTGATAAGTCAATTGCAGGGACATTAATGGGTACGTTGACCACCATGAAGTTCGATGGTTCTCGTACCATGCATGAGCATGTCACTGAAATGACAAACACAGCAGCAAGATTGAGATCTATGGGAATGGAATTGAGTGAAAGTTTCCTTGTGCAGTTTATCATAAACTCCTTGCCTTCTGAGTATGGTCCATTCCAAATAAATTACAATACCATAAAAGATAAGTGGAATGTGACTGAATTGCAAAGCATGCTCATTCAAGAGGAAGCAAGGCTTAAGAAACAAGGAATTCACTCAATTAATCTCATGGGTCATCAAGGAGCTGGAAAGAAACCAGGAAAATATAATGGAAAGGGCAAGAAAAGAGCACTGAAAGATAATGTGTTGCCTGACCAAGTTCACAAGAAGGAACGAAAGAACGATAAGTGTCATTTCTGCAAGAAACCTGGACACTATCAGAAAGATTGCCTGAAACGTAAGGCATGGTTCGAAAAGAAAGGTAAACCTCTTGCTTTTGTATGTTTCGAATCAAACCTAACAGAAGTTCCTTATAATACTTGGTGGATTGATTCTGGTTCTACCACTCATGTTTCAAATACGATGCAGGGATTCCTTACCACCCAAACCATAAATCCAAATGAAAATTTTATCTTCATGGGAAATCGAGTCAAAGCTCCAGTTGAGGCCATTGGAACCTACCGCTTGTTTTTAGACACTGGACATCATTTAGATCTTTTTCAAACTCTTTATGTACCTACTGTTTCTCGCAACTTAGTTTCCTTGTCTAAACTTGATACCGTTGGTTACTCTTTTAAATTTGGAAATGGATGTTTCAGTTTGTTTAAGCATAATCATCTTATTGGTTCTGGTGTTCTCTCTGATGGTTTATACAAATTAAGGCTTGATAATCTTTTTGCTGAATCTCTATTAACCTTGCATCATAATGTTGGAACTAAACGAAGTTTAGTGGATGAAAGTTCAGCTTATTTGTGGCATAAACGTTTGGGACATATTTCCAAAGAAAGAATACAAAGATTGGTAAAGAATGAAATCCTTCCTAATTTGGATTTTACCGATCTTGGTATTTGTGTGGATTGTATTAAAGGAAAACATACAAATCATACAATTAAGAAAGCCACCACAAGAAGCACACAGCTCCTTGAAATAGACCTTTTGATGTTCCATCCTTTAATAAAGAAAAATATTTTATCACCTTTATAGATGATTTTTCACGTTATGGATATGTCTATTTGTTGCATGAAAAATCTCAATCAGTAGATGCCTTAGAGGTATTTATTAATGAGGTTGAAAGACAATTAGACAAAAAGGTAAAAATTATTAGATCTGATAGGGGTGGTGAATTTTATGGAAAATATAACGAAACGGGACAATGTCCTGGTCCATTTGCTAAATTTCTTGAAAAGCGTGGCATATGTGCTCAATACACTATGCCAGGTACACCGCAACAAAATGGTGTTGCAGAAAGGCGTAATCGTACACTAATGGACATGGTTAGGAGTATGTTGAGTTATTCCTCTTTACCCTTATCATTGTGGATGTATGCTTTAAAAACCGCAATGTATTTGTTAAACAGGGTTCCTAGTAAGGCAGTTCCAAAGACTCCTTTTGAACTGTGGACGGGAAGGAAACCCAGTTTGAGACACCTTCATGTTTGGGGTTGTCCTGCGGAAATACGAATTTATAATCCACATGAAAAGAAACTGGACTCAAGAACAACCAGTGGTTTCTTCATTGGTTATCCAGAAAAATCTAAAGGGTATAGATTTTATTGTCCTAGCCATAGCACTAAAATTGTTGAAACTGGAAATGCCAGGTTCATTGAGAATGGTGACATTAGTGGGAGTATGGAACCACATAAAGTGGAAATCCAAGAAGTTAAAATGAATGTTCCTTTGCCTTTAACTTCTTCTCAAGTTGTTGTTCCTACAGTTATTGAATAGTTTAACGACTTTCAAGAACAACAAATAAATGATCAAACACTCCATGAAGACGTTACCACCAATGAACCTGCAATAGATATACCCCGTGAAGAAGTAGCATTACGAAGGTCTCAAAGACAGAAAAAATCTGCTATTCCTGACGATTATGTGGTTTATCTACAAGAATCAGAATTTGATCTTGGAATTGATGAAGATCCGGTTTCATTTTCACAGGCCATGAAAAGCCATAATTCTGATAAATGGTTTGATGCCATGAAAGATGAGTTGAAATCAATGGAGCATAATGAAGTTTGGGATCTTGTAGAATTGCCTAAAGGTTGTAAAAGAGTTGGGTGTAAATTTTGAAAAAGGATTCATTTAGAATTATTATGGCCATTGTGGCTCATTATGATTTAGAGCTACATCAAATGGATGTGAAAACTGCTTTTCTAAATGGAAATTTAGATGAAGAAGTTTACATGGACCAACCCGAGGGTTTTTCAATTAAAGGAAAGGAACACATGGCGTGTAAACTTAAGATATCAATATACGGACTCAAACAAGCTTTCCGACAATGGTATCTTAAGTTTAATGATACTATTACATCTTTTGGATTTAAAGAAAACATCGTTGATCGATGTATATATCTAAAGATCAGTGGGAGCAAATTTATATTTCTGATTCTGTATGTTGATGATATCTTGCTTGCTGCTAATGATCTTGGTTTATTACACGAGACCAAGAAATTTCTCTCTAAGAACTTCGAAATGAAAGATATGGGTGAGGCATCCTATGTGATAGGAATTGAAATATTCCGTGACAGATCACAAGGATTGTTAGGGTTGTCTCAAAAATCATATATTAATAAAGTTCTAGAGAGGTTCAAGATGGATAAATGCTCTGCATCTGTAGTTCCAATTCAGAAAGGGGATAAATTCAGTCTTATGCAATGTCCAAAGAATGAATTGGAACACAAACAAATGGAACAAATTCCTTATGCATCCATCGTTGGGAGCTTGATGTATGCTCAGGTTTGTACAAGACCTGACATTAGTTTTGCTGTCGGAATGCTTGGTAGATATCAAAGTAATCCAGGATTGGATCATTGGAAAGCTGCAAAGAAGGTATTGAGATACTTGCAAGGAACAAAGGATCATATGCTCACTTATAGAAGATCTGATCACCTTGAGGTGATTGGATATACAGATTCAGATTTTGCTGGATGTTTGGATACTAGAAAATCCACATTTGGCTATCTGTTTCTTCTATCTGGAGGAGCGATCTCATGGAAAAGTGCGAAGCAGTCTGTCATTGCTGCATCGACTATGGAGGCTGAGTTCGTGGCATGCTTTGAGGCCACTGTTCATGGATTATGGCTGCGGAATTTTATTTCAGGACTTGGAGTTGTTGACAGTATTGCCAAGCCGCTGAAAATTTATTGTGATAATGCTGCAGCAGTCTTCTTTTCTAAAAACGACAAGTATTCGAAGGGTGCTAAACATATGGAATTAAAATACTTTGCCGTTAAAGAAGAAGTTCAGAAACAAAGAGTGTCAATTGAGCATATTAGCACAAATCTTATGGTTGCGGATCCGTTAACAAAAGGATTGCCTCCAAAGACATTTAATGAACATGTTGAAAGAATGGGCATTATTGAAAACCATTACTAACTTTTATGTAAAGTTCATGCTCTTTATGTATTTGACACTTTGAGCTCATCTAAATATTGTTTCTGATAATTAATGTATCCTGTTTATTATTGTTAGTATATACATAAATGATTATGTGAATATTAACAGGATATGTCTCTGACAAAGACATTATTGTTGGACCATTATGATAAGTCTTATTACAGGTCATGTTTAGTTTAAAACTAATATTGTGATACATGGAAGGGACTATGTCAATTTAGCTGCGTACGACCGCCATGATCCTTATTAGTTTTCTACTTAATGATGATTGATGGTTTGACCAATATGATGATGGGATTAGCTTACACTATGTATATTACATCGTATTATGAAATCATGTTTTTCAATTATGAAACATGGGCCAAGTGGGAGAATGTTAGTTTCATTTTAAAACGTGAATAGTGGCCCACGTTTTTAGGTTAGTAGACATGATTTATAATTAGTTTTATAACTACTCACTTATGCTAATTTCCTATTGGTCAAGATAACTACCCACTTTGATGGATTGTGGAGTGGTTATTCTATTTAAAGGCTTGGTCCTCTCTCTACCTATGATAATGAAAAATTTCTCTCCATCAAGAAATTTTCGGAATGGCATAAGAGGGCTAGGAGAGAGAAACTCAAGTCTTTAAGATTGTTCAAGTTTCTTCAAGTTTCAAATCATGGATCAAGGTACGTTTTTCTTAATGAATGTTCATAGTGAAAATCATATGTTCTAAGATCTTGGTATTATGATGATTAAATCAAAATAAAGTTTGATTTACTTATGAAGTTATGTTTACATACTGTAGCATTATTATTGTAGCTCAGGCAGGACACTGTAGCATTTTAAAATTGTTATTGTAGCACTTACAAAAACTGAATTTAAATACAAAATTACTGTAGCAGAAATAAAAAATGAAGGCCGTGCTTTGCACCGGGTGCACACTAGTATAAATATATCAGCAGATATCCATATCCGTCTTCTTCCATGGTTTTGATATTATATGTTGATTGATTCTACTCGCTTTCATAGTACAAACAGAAAGATAGAGACAAAATGAGGAATGAATGGAATTTATATCTCAAGGGAAAACAGTAGAAAGAAAGAAAACTAATGCTACAACATTTACCGGGAAATTTTTGCACTAATGTCTATCTTCTGTACAATGGGCTAGAATATATTTTGATGGAATGAAGGGATTTTACGTTTTCCTGTTGTGGTGGCGGAATCGGGGTAAATTCACACGGGAGGCTCGCAGCGCTTTCTCCACTTCCGGGTTGAGGTGTAACTCATCTGCAGCGACTCCCGTGAATTCGCTGGGGAATCCTGATTCTGAAGTGGATGGTCGGTTTGCTGAACGCGTGATTGTGATCGGATGTGGTGGAGCCGATGGTTCAGGCGTTGCTGGTGGCTGCAGAGTTTTAAAAGAACAAAAAGGCAGAAAAGAAAATGCTATTAGAAGCTTTGTTGGAACTTATGAACCTTCTAGTTAAGCTATTTTGGCCCCTTTTTAATTACTTTCCTAATTGAATGGCTAATAACACTTTCAATGCATGGAATCCAAAGTCACGAGGCCCACTTGTTCATCTTTGAATAGAGCTTATTGTTTGTATGTATTTTGTTTAGTCATTTTAAAGCCCGTTATGGTGCCTAATAGCCTGTTATAAATTGCTGAAGTTATCACAAATCAGTTCTTTAATAACTTTCACCTGACTCCTTTACATTTGAACTATTCATTTCTCCCATGAAAAATATTTGTGATTTGGTCTTCAATCTAAAACCTCATATAACCCAGCCAGTATGGGTCTGGCTCAAAGAGAAATGAAATTTCACGAAATGATGCAATGATGTATAACTATAGTTGCAATTTCAAACAATAAAGCACACATTGTTCCAAGTTTCAACTTTATACCATTTGCAATCTAGTGGTCGTATTAAATTATTATAAGTAATTAAATCAGTTCAAAACCTGCAGTTTCACCGGTGAAACTTTCAAATTTTAGGAAGTTTGCTCCGAAATTTATAAACTAAATAATTCAGTTGAAAGGGACTGCATATTAGTTTTTGAGTTTAGATTGTTCTTGCCTACACTAGTTATAAAGGACGGTCCAATACTACACTCTCAAATGTCTTAAACATAGTAAACAATTTTGATTCAATCTGAGAATAACTAGTGGTGCATCTGTCCTTCTGGTCTAAACCATCACAAGGTAGAAAATGATTAAGATGCCACATTGGCCCACCAGCTAGAGCTTTTGAGAACTTCGCTGTGACAAGTAATATACCAACCAGAAAAGATGAACTTAAAGTAGACAACACCTGAAAGTTACAACTGACTTGTCAATATGTCATTGGATATTTCAAGGATAATTGAATTTACGATAGCATTACGATGAGGTTTTCATTTCTCAAATTTGAACAGGTCAAAAACACAGGTTTCTTTATGTTTGAGTAACCAGATCAAAATAACATGTCATATTCCAAGTGGACATATTATATGCTATATTTCAACTTTGGTCAAGGTCATAGAGAAACATTAATGAACCTGACATTCTTTGAGATAATTGGTTTCAATTTTGGCTGCTGGATTCAAAAATTATATTACTACTTATTCAAGGTCAGACTGTAAATGCAATTATGTATTAGACTTTGATCAATACTTTAATGCAGCGAAATAAAGTTCAGATTTATTATTAGGCAATTTAGCTTATCAAAACTAACAACAAACGTAAACCAACGAAAAAAGTTATAGCAACTAAATACCTGTGGGGTTGATGATGATGACCCATTTGGCTGTGAAACAACCATATGAAGAAGCTCCAGAAACATGGATTTTCCTTGGTCTGTGAAATTCTTGATGTAGAACATCAACAAGTCTGCAGATTTAGCCCTAAACCTCCTCAATTTCTCCTCAATGTCTGGCTCATGCTGCACAACCAATGGCCTCAGAAACGCAGCATACACCCAACTTGTTCCCTTCAAAGAAAGCAAAAACATCTTCTCGTTAAGATCAGACACTTACTGCAAATTCTATTGGATTCTTGGGGTAAAATCTGTAGAGGGCCTTATGTAGACTCAACACATGTTCTACTATCAATTTATAGCAATACAAACAATAACAATATCAGTAAAAACAATATATGTACGAATAGGAGTAAAGATTTTATCAGAACACTCCCATAGAATGAGGTAACCTATAACATTCATGGGTGTTTAGAGGGTTAGTTTCGGAATTATAGTTATTCTACTTGCAGTGAAAAAATAATAATGCATCAGCATAACAAATAATATAGAAATCAATATAATCAGCAACTTTAAATCAAATATTAAAACACGTGCCGATCAGTACAATCACCGACTTTAAGACATGTATTGAAACACCGACTTTCCAATTCCACCCTAAAATGCAAAGTAGAATTCATAATGAGATTTTAGTAATTCTATTACCTTTGTTTTCGGGTGCCACAAGTAGATGAAGAATGCTATCTTGGTCTCATCATACAACGGCAACCTTCAAATTATTGACAAAAATTAGACGATATAGTCAATAATCAAGACTCAATAATCCAATTCCCAACTTTATAAAAATGGATTGTGAGGTTACCATGAAACGAACACATCGAAGAATCTTTCAAAGACCGTCAAGATTGCAACAATCAGGATTGTGAGGTTACCATGAAACGAACACATCGAAGAATCTTTCAAAGACCGTCAAGATTGCAACAATCACCCTGCCAAAAGAACCATGAAACGAACACATCGAAGAATCTTTCAAAGACCGTCAAGATTGCAACAATCACCCTGCCAAAAGAATTCAAGAAACCCCAATTCCGTCTCAAATCATCCACAACCTTATATTTTCCTTATAAAATTTCAAAAAAACTAAATTCAAGAAAATGATATTACCAGTATTGGCACCAGAAATGGAGCTGCCCTATGCTAGCTTGCCCCACCTCCATCATTTTAAAGCATTCAAATGCTGGATACGCGTAGCCAAGCATCAATCTGCATCCAAATCAAACCCTAATTTAACCCCAAAGCCAAAATAAAGCATCAAATTTGATAGCAAAACAGACAGAAGAAGCACGAACGCGAGAACTCGAGCCACGAATTCATTCAACATCCTCAGAGATCTTGATGGATTTCAGTGAAATATGAGAATTTTGGGGCAAATTTTTGATTTTATACGACGGATTGGGGATCGCGTCAAGGGATGAAGAAGAAGAGGGGCGGTTGCTTGCTTCGGACTGTTCCCGCTTAATTTTTTAATAAAAGACTTTGAGGTTAAAAGCCCTCGTGACCTTTAAACTGGCAGTTTGTGAGTAAATCACGAGACTGGACCCGTGATTGTGAGGATATTTAATGGGAGCGGCGCTAGTGGTGAGGGGTATTTGCGTCATTGTCTACTGTTCGGATTTTAGTTATTGGCTGGATGCGTGTGCGTTACTGAAATAAACGTCAGGGTTTTATGATGCAGCTTTGATCTACGTAAGCAATCTAGTTAGTAAAAAGTTTTGCTATAAGTACCCAGGAGCTAACAGGGAGGTGCCCCTCTCCTATTGCATAATGAGTTAACATGTGAGGTGTACCTCTTCTATTGAATGCAATAGGAGGGAGGGCACCTCACATGTCCCCCTGTTGTCCCATATTTTTCATCCTCGGAGGATTTTAACCTCAATCTTTTACTAACTTATTATTCTATGGATCATTGTATTTGTGTAACTAACTTGTGTATACCTTAAGTATCAATTAGCACAAGAAATTTGATTGTGGAACAGTAAAATTAATAATTTATTATTTATTTCTTAACCTTTTGATGCTTAAAATTTTTAATTTCTTTTATAAGTATTTATAAATAATTATTTTGGAGGTAGAGGATAAACATGCCCGTTTAGATAATAACCACTTAAGTAAACCATAAAATGATCATGTTTTCATAAGTATTTATTATAGTATCTAGATATTCTTCTGATGCTTGGTTACAAGCATACTCATTAGGTAATGACTGCTTAAGTAAGACATAAGTGTTGGGTATCTACTCAAACTCCAAGTTAGGATAGAGTTTTTAATTCTTTGTATAACTTCATGAGAATTAGATAAGGTTAGAGATCTATCATGATTAGGAGTTTGGGTTCCATCATGATTGGGAGTTTGAATCTTATTCTAATTAGGAAGTTAGACTAGAGATAGGGTTTTGGTTTCTCTATATATATTCTTCTATTGTTAGAGGAGAAAAGGAGATGAAAAAAGAAGTGTAGAGAGAGAGAGAGGGTTTGACAGTCTTTATCCGTGCAAAAGATTGTAATTTAGAGGTGATAGTGGATTGATTTTGATCCCGTGGTTTTTCTCTGTTGAGGGTTTTCCACGTTAAATCTTGTGTGATTTTATTTGCTGCGTTTGGTGGTTTTTTGGGGGTTTTTACGATATCTAAAAATCCCTACAATAAGAGTGAAGATACATTTTTCATTGGATTAAGATGATTCCAAGGTTAGTTGGAGCAACTAGTTTACAGACTGATCTACTTATTTTGTAATGTTCATTTTTTTTGGGACAAAATCAAGGTTAACAGGAACTAGAAAGGACCAGGAGGAAGAGTAGTTGAGGAGAAAGACAGTTTAGCTAAACAAATCTAAAGAGATAATCTATTATACATACTGTGATTTGATGTAAATACAAACTTTATAACACTGTGGGTCAAGGTAGCTGGAATAAATTAGTTCATTGCTTTATTGCAATACTCACCATTCAATGTCCAGCCAACATGTCTAAGTATAAAAGTTTTGGAGTTGTTCAATTATGGGCCTGTGTACATTCTAATTGTTCATCTATTTTATTCTTGACCATCATAGAGTCTGAAGTGTTCTTACAGGATTCACGGTATGCGGTCTAAACTAATGGAAAATAATAGGGGCACACCCTCAACCACAACTCCAATCACACACCCTCTCTCATTCGCTACAGTGCACCGGGCTCCACATGGGATTTTAAAATTTAAAATCCAATGTGGGGCCCGGTGCACTGTAGCAAATGAGAGAGGGGATATGGTTGGAGTTGTGGTTAGGGGTGTGCCTTTAGTGCCACCCTAAACTAATTAAAGAGTTATTTTAATATTTAGTAAAAATATATAGGTTATGGCTAGTTTATCTACTCTCATCTAGGGCTGAGCATGGTTCGGTCCAAACCGAAAAAACCGACCGAACCGACCCGAACCGACCCGAAAAAATTCGGTCCAAACCGAAAAAACCGACCGAACCGACCCGAACCGACCCGAAAAAATCGGTTTTATGAGTAGAGCGGTTTGGGTCGGTTTGAAAACTTTTTAACCCGAACCGACCGAATATAGTGCAATACTACTCATTCTGATCTCAAACCCTACCCGACCCATCCCCAAAGAGTCAAAGACTCAAACCCTAAACTCATTTTCTGAATCATTATGGGTTGAAAACAATATCATTATATCAATGTTTAATGCTTTATAATCTCCTACTTTGTTGATAATTTTTTCTTAACACAGTTTGTTGTTTGATAAGAAGTTTGATGAAGTTAGAACCGAACAAATCGAACCAAACCGTACTGAACCGACTTGCAACAGTTCGGTTTGGTTTTAAATTATAGACGGTTCGATTCGGTTGTTCAAATTTTAATAAAACCGAACCGAACCGAGCCGACCGTTGCACACCCTACTCTCATCACTGAAACCAAAATTTTAAGAAACCTTTTTCACGGAGAAGTTATCTGTCCACGTAACCGTCGTAACGTAACTGCGGCTTGAATGTCAACGGTAAACAAAAGCTCCTAACCAAACAATATCTTTGTGACAATTATTTTAAAATACGCGCTTCTTCCATGTGATATTATACTATAACTCATTGTGATCTGAACGTTGCCCCACCGTTGGACTTCAAACTTTTTTTCCCCCAAGTCTTCCCGCTGACCAAATCCTTGGTTCCATTTTCCTCCGAGTTTCTTCTCCACCTTATTATATATACTATAACACAAATTTGTCAGACAATAAGTTTGTAAAATAATTCAAAACCCAGTTCGTGATATCCGTGATGATGTTTTCCTAAGACTCGGTCAGGGTGGAAGATACGTTATTATATCCGTTGTCTAGAACCATCTAGATTTTATATATGGGGTAATTAAAATAAAACAAGCTAGATATCTGTCATTATTGATGAATGATGATCACATGTTTCATTAATATGGTGGAGCAAAATAAGGAGGGGTCTGTTAGGATATGTGAAGCCTAACTATCAAGCATGCCCTATACTTCAGAAGAGAGGAGGAACAAAGTTGGAACAGGATGAACAGGATCGACGATGGCGAAGTTCAAGCAAAACGACGAAGGATGAACTTTTCTGCATCGCGATCGACCGAGCAGAGCGTCGCGGTCGACCGCCTATGTGCACAGCTGGGTGCACAGGCCAGGAGCTCATCGCGGTCGACCGAGCATGGCGCTGCGGTCGACCGGCAAAAGTCCAGAGAGCGCATCGCAGTCGACCGCACGTGGCGCTGCGGTCGACCGGAGTCGGGTTTTGGCCCAGATTCGTTTTTTGACCTGTTTTAATCTGTTTCCTTTTTTACTTGTTAAACCCTTAAGTCTATAAAAGGGTTGGCTAGGGCATGATGTATTAAGACTGAAAAATAGTGAATTTTTCTTTTTCTCCTGCGGCGGTCGTGGACGTAGTTTCTCACATTGAGAAGCGAACCACGTAAATCTTGTGTGTTTGAGATTGTTTGATTTTCTCTCTTCTCTCCTAAATCTCTATTTCCAAATCGCATCAGGGGGATTGTGCATCCCCAACAAGTGGTATCAGAGCGACCAGGTTCGGCGCGAGCGATTTGAGGTCAGAGACAATGGGATCTGAGAAGGAAACATCCAAGATTAAAAAATTTGATGGAACAAACTTCGGGTTCTGGAAGATGCAGATGGAAGACTACCTCTATCAGAAGGATCTATATCTACCATTGGGAGAGAAGCCGACGGATATGAAGGATACGGATTGGAAGCTATTGGATCGAAAGGCCCTTGGAGCGATCAGGTTGACCTTGTCTAAATCAGTAGCGTTCAACATCAAGAATCAGAATACGACGGCGGATCTCATGGCGGCGTTGTCCAGTATGTATGAGCAGCCCTCTGCGGCGAATAAGGTACATCTCATTAAAAAGTTGTTTAATTTGAGGATGACCGAGAGCCAGAAATTCAAGGAACACCTGAACGAGTTTAACGAGATCATGGATCAACTAAACTCGGTCAATAAGAGCCAGAAATTCAAGGAACACCTGAACGAGTTTAACGAGATCATGGATCAACTAAACTCGGTCAATATTCAGTTTGACGATGAAATCCAAGCCCTCTTGATACTTGGTCAATTGTCCGACAGTTGGAAGGGCACCGTTATCTCGATCAGCGGATCATGTGGCAAATCAAAGCTGAAGTTTTCAGAGATGGTGGACATGATTATGACTGAGGAAATAAGAAGACAAGAGGAAGGGATTTCTAATTCAGGGTTGGTATTGAATCTTGAGGGCAGAGGAAGAAACAGAAACAGAAATAGAGGGAGTAGCCGAGGAAGATCTAACTCGAGGAACGGAAGGTCAAAGTCCAGGAACCGTAAGGGCAAGAAGGAGATCGATTGCTGGAATTGTGGCAAGTTTGGCCACTATGAGAATCAGTGCCGAGAACCCAAGAAGGACAAGGAGAACAAGACTGAAGCGAACGTGGCCTCAGGAGAATCAGATGATGCCCTAATCTGTTCGTTGGAGAGCAAAACTGAATCGTGGGTGCTGGATTCAGGAGCTTCGTTTCATGCTACCTCAAATAAAGATTTATTTGAGAACTATGTTTCAGGAAACCTAGGAAAAGTCTATCTTGGTGATGATCAGCCCTGTGATATCGTTGGCAAAGGAGTCGTGCAGATCAAGCTCAATGGGTCTATATGGAAGCTAAGCGATGTGAGACATGTTCCTAGCTTGAGGAAAAATTTGATTTCCATAGGACAATTGGCGAAAGAGGGATATGTAACAACCTTCGCATGTGATACGTGGAAGGTTACAAAGGGGTCCATGGTTGTTGCCCGTGGTACGAAGATAGGTTCTCTCTATATGACGATAGATGCATGTGGTTCTATTGCAGTGGCTGAAAGTAAGGAAGACCCAAATTTGTGGCACCAGAGGCTAGGTCACATGAGTAGCAAAGGCCTAAAGGTTATGCAATCGAATGGGAAGTTACCAGGTTTGAGATCGGC